TATGATTGGAATCATACAGTATATAGCCTTTCAAATTGACTTCTTTCACTTAATAATATGCATTTAAGTTTCCTTCATGTATTTTCATGGCTTGATAATTCGCTTCTTTTTAGCTCTGGATAATAGTGTGTTGTCTGGATGTGCCACAGTTTATTTATCCATTCGCCTACTGAAGGACATCTTGGTTGCTTCAAAATCCTGGCAATTATGAATAAAAGCTGCTATAAGTGTTCATGTGCAGGCTTTTCTGGGGATATGTTTTCAGCTCCTTTGGATACATACCAAGGAGCATGATTGCTGGCTTGTATAGTATGAGTATGTTTAATTTTGTAAGAGACCACCAAACTATCTTCCACAGTGATGGTACCATTTTGTGTTCCCAACAGCAACGAGAGTTCCTGTTGTTCCCCATGCTCTTGTCAGCATTTGCTGTTGTCGGTGTTCTGTATTTGGACCATTTAAATAGGTGTGTAGTAGTATCTTATTAATTTAGTTTGAAATTCCCTAATGACATACGATGTCGAACATCTTTTCATACGCTTCTTTGCCATCTGTATATCTTCGTTGATGAGGTGTCTGCTGAGGTCTTTGGCCAATTTTTTAATCGGTGGTTTGTTTTCTTATTTTTGAGTTTTAAGAGTTCTTTGTATAACAGTCCTTTATCAGATGTATCTTTTGCAAATATTTTCTCTCAGTCTATGGCTTATCTTCTCATTCCTTTGACACTGTCTTTTGCAAAGCAGACATTTTTAATTTGAATGAAGTCCAGCTTATCAATTATTTCTTTCATGAATTGTTCCTTTGGTGTTGTATCTAAAAAATCACCATACTCAAGGTTATCTGATGTTTCTCCTATGTTATCTTCTAGTAGTTTTATAGCTTTGTGTTTTACATTTAGATCTGTGCCTCATTTTGAGTTAATTTTTGTGAAGGGTGTAAGGTCTGTGTCTAGATTTTTTTGCAAGTGGATGACCATTTGTCCTCACACCATTTGTTGAAGAAAGTATCTTTGCTCCATTTTATTGACTTTGCTCCTTTGTCAAAAATCAGTTTCCTATATTTATGTGGGTCTATTTCTGGGCTTTCTATTCTTTTCCATTGATTTATTCATCTATTCTTTCACCAATGCCACACTGTTGTGATTACTGTGGCTTTACAGTATGTCTTAAAGTCAGATAGTGTCAGTCCTACAATCTTGTTCTTCAAGATTGAGTTGTCTATCCCAGATCTTTTGCCTCTTCATTACACTCTTTAGAATCAGTTTGTCAATATTCAAAATATACCTTACTGGAATTTTGATTGGGATTGTGTTAAATCTGTAGACCAAGTTGGGAAGACTGACCTCTTGACTATATTGAGTCATTTATGAACATGGAGTATTTTTCCATTTATTTAGTTCTTCTTTCGTATTTTCACCAGAGTTTTGTAGTTTTCCTCATACAGATCTTGTACATATTTTGTTAGATTTATACCTAATTTTTTTGGAGTGCTAATATAAATGATGTACTTTTAATGTCAAATTCTACTTGTTAATTGTTGGGTGTATAGGAAAGAAGTTGACTTTTGTATATTAACTTTGTGTTCTGCAACCTTGCTATACTCACTTATTAGTTTCAGGAGGGTTTTTTTTGTGGATTCTTCAGATTTTCTACCCAAACAATCATGTCATCTGTGAACAAAGACAGTTTTATTTCTTCCTTCCCAATTTGTATACTTTTTGTTTCCTTTTATTGTCTTATTGCAGCGTTAGGACTTCCAGTATGATGTTGAAAAACGGTGGCGACAGGGGAATGTCTTGCCTTGTTTCTCATCTTAGCTGGAAAGTTTCAGGCTTCTCATTATTCAGTATGGTGCTAGCTGTAGGGTTTTTGTAGATGTTCTTTATCAAGTTGAAGAATTTCCTTTCTATTCCTAGTTTGCTGAGTGTTTTTATCATGAATGGGTGTTGGATTTTGTCAAATGCTTTTTTTGGATCTATTAATATGATCTTGTAATTTTTCTTCTTAGTCTGCTGATGTACTGGATTACATTAATTGATTGTTGAATATTGAACCTGCTTTGCATTATCTGGGATAAATTCCACTTGGTTATGCTGTATAATTCTTTTTATACATGGTTGGATTCAATTTGCTAATATTTTGTTAAAAGATTTTGCATCTATATTCCTGAGAGATTTTGGTCTATAGTTTTCTTTTCTTGTAATGTCTTTGTCTGGTTTTGGTATTAGGACAATGCTGGCCTCATAGAACAACTTAAGAAGTATGTCTTCTTCTATCTTCTGGAAGAGATTGTTGAGAATTGTTATAATTTATTCCTTAAATGTTTAGTAGATTTCGCCTGTGCAACCATCTGGACCTAGGGCTTTCTGTTGGAAGGCTATTAATTTTTTATTTCTTTAACAGATCGGACCTATTCAGGTTGTTTGTTTCTTCTTGTTTGAGTTTTGGTAGATGCTGTCTTTCAAGGAATTGGTCCATTTCATCTAGGTTATCAAATTCGTGGGCATAGAGTTTTTCATAATATTCTTTTATTATCCTCCTAATACTCATGAGATAGTAATGTCCCCTATTTCATTTGTTATATTAGTAATCTATGTCTTCTCTCTTTTTTTCTTAGTTAGCCTGGCTAGAGGCTTATCAATTTTGTTAATCTTTTCAAAGAATCAGCTTTTGGTTTTGTAGATTTTGTCTACTGATTTCCTATTTTCAATGTAATTGATTCCTACTCTAACTTTTATTATTTCTTTTCTTCCACTACTTTGGATTTGATTTGCACTTCTTTTTCTAGTTTTTTAAGGTGGAAGCTTAGATGATTGATTTTAGATATTTCTTCTTTTTTAATGTATGCATACGCTGTTATTAACTTCCCTCTATACACTGCTTTCACTGTATCCCACAAATTTTGATATTATATTTTTATTTTCATTGAGTTCAAAATATTTTTTAATATCTCTTGAGATTTGTTTTTTGACCCATGTATTATTTAGAAGTATGCTGTTTAATCTCCAAATATTTTGGGATTTTACAGCTATCTTTCTGTTATTGATTTCTAGTTTAATTCCATTGTGGTTTACAGGCACGCATTGTGTGATGTATTCTATTCTTTTAAATTTACTGTGTTTTATGGCCCAGAATATGGTCTATCTTGGTGAATGATCCCTATGAGCTTGAGAAGAATGTGTATTCTGCTATTGTTGGATGAAGTAGTCTATAGATATCAATTATATCCAGTTGATTGATGGTGCTGCTGAGTTCAAGTATGTTCTTATTGATCTTCTGGCTGCTGGATCTGTCCGTTTCTGATAGAGAGGTGTTAGAGTCACCAAGTATAATAGCATATTAATCTATTTCTCCTTGCAGTTCTATCAGTTTTTGCCTCATGTATTTTGGTGCTCTGTTGTTAGACACATACACATTAAGGATCATTATGTTTTCTTAGAGTATTGACCTCTTATAATTATGTAATGCTCCTCTTTATTCCTAGTAATTTTCCTTGCTTTGAAGTCTCTCTGAAATTATGATTACTACTCCTGCTTTCTTTTGATTAGCATTAGGATGGTTTATCTTTCTCCATCCCTTTAGTTTTAATCACTGTGTTTTTATATTTAAAATGGGTTTCTGGGGCCCACCCAGTGGCGTAGTGGTTAAGTTCACATGCCCCACTTCAGCAGCCCGTGGGTTCAGGTCCTGGGCATGGAGCTACATACTATTCATCAAGCCATGCTATGGTGGTGTCCCACACACAAAATAAGGGAAGATTGGCACAGATGTTAGCTCAGGGACGATCTTCCTCACCAAAAAGAAAAAAAGAAAGAAAGAAAAGAAAAACTGGGTTTCTTTTAGAAAAAGTATAATTGAATTTTGTTTTGTGATCCACTTGACAATCTCTGTCTTTTAAGTAATGTATTTAGACTATTGACATTTAAAGTCATTATTGATGTAATTGGATTAATATCTACCATATTCATTACTGTTTTCTGCTTGTTTCTCTTGTTCTTTGCTCCTATTTTTGTCTTCCACGCTTTTTCTGCCTTTTGTGGTTTTAATTGAGCATGTTATATGATTTGATCTTCTTTCCTTTCTTAGCATATCAATTATAATTCTTTTTAATTCTTTTAGTGGTTGCCCTAGAATTTACAATATACAGTTACAACTAATCCAAGTCCACCTTCAAATAACACTATACCACTTCATGGGTAGTGTGAGTACCTTATAATATGTACAATATATTCCTAATCCCTCCATCTTGTCCCTTATATCATTACTGTCATTCATTTCACTTATACATAGGCATCTGTATGTATATATGTATACATAAGCATACATAATAGAATATATTGTTGCTAGTATTTTGAACAAATTATCTGTTAGATCAATTAAGAATAAGAAAAGCAACAGTTTTTATTTTACCTTCACTCATTTCTTCTCCAGTACTCTTCCTTTCTTTATGGAGATCCAAGTTTCTGAGCTATATTGTTTTCTTTCTCTCTGAAGAACTTCTTTTAAATGTTTACTGCAACAAACTTTCTCAATTTTTATGTGTTTTTTATTTCTCCTTCACTTTTGAAGGATAATTTCACAGGGTACAGAATTCTAAGTTGGTGGCTTTTTTTTCCCCTCAACACTTTAAATATTTCACTCCATCCTCTTCTTGCTTATGTGGTTTTTGAGGAGAAGTCAGATGTAATTCTTATTTTTGCTTCTCTATAGATAAGGTGTTTTCCCCCTCTCTGGCTTCTTTCAAGATTTTAAAAAATCTTTTATTTTCTAAAGTTTGTATATACATATATATACATATATATATATGCATTTGTCCTGCTTAGTGTTCTCTGCACTTCCTGGATCTGTGGTTTGGTGTCTGACATTAATTATGAGGAAATTCTTAGTCATTATTGCTTCAGACATTACTTCTATTTCCTCCTCTCTTTCTTCTCCTTCTGGTATTCCCATTTTATATATATATATATATATATGTTATACCTTTTGTAGTTGTCCCACAGTTCTTAAATATTCTGTTCTGGGTTTTTTCCAGTATTTTTTCTCTTTGCCTTTCAGTTTTTGGAGTTTGATTGTCATATCCCACGCTCACAGATTCTTTCCTTAGCTGTGTCCAGTCTACTAATGAACTCATCATAAGCATTTTTCATTTCTGTTACAGTTTTTGATTTTTAGCATTTCTTTCTTAGAATATCCATCTCTCTGCTTATGTTATTTATCTGTTCTTGCATGTTATCTACTTTTTCCGTTAAATCTCTTGGCATATTAATCATAGCTTTTAAAAATCCCTGGTCTGATGATTCCAACTTTCCTGCCATATCTGACTCTGGTTTTGGTGTTTGTTCAGTCTCTTCAAACTTTTTTGCCTTTTAATATGCCTTGTAATTTTTTGTCAAAAGGTAGACATGAGGTACTGGGTAAAAGAAATGGCAGTAAATAGGCCTTTAGTAATGTCGTGGTAAGCTGTACGGGGAGGGGAAGTGTGCTATAAGCCTATGATTAGGTCTCAGTCTTTTGGTAAGCCTGTGCCCCTGAGCTGTGAATTTCACTAGTGCCTCTCGGTCCCCTGACACTTAGTTGTGACAGGAGGCCTAGAGGAGGATGGAGTTGGGCGTTTCTCTTCTCTCAAATAGGTTATGCTCTGATAAAACCCCAGAAGGTTAGGCTGTAGAGAAATAGTTTCTCCTGAGGACAGGCCTTATTAATAAGAACAGAATGCTCTGGTGTATTTCAAGATAGTTCCTCTTCCCCTCCCATGATGGAATTCTCTAATATTCTCTGATAGTCTCTGTGAGGACCTTGAAGTAAAACTCACAAAAGTGTGGGTGCCATTCTGTGACTGGGTCCCCCTGGAGTGTTTTACTCTCAGAGTTGTCCACACTGAGCTTCCAGCCATTCGTCAAGTAAAGTTCAGGTTTTCCTACCCTGGCACTGGTTCTCTCAGAGATAATTTGCTGTGGCCACCTGGCTGTCTCTTCAATTTTGGGGGCAGCAGTTTGTCCCATAAACTCATAGCTCTGATGCATCTAAGAAGAGCTGTTGGTTTTTCAATTTGGTTCAGCTTTTTGCTTGTTAGAATGGAAGGATGACTTCTAAGCTTCTTAGATGCTGGACCAGAAACCAGAAGTCTGCCTACTCTTAATAACCGTTATGCCTCATGTTTTCCCGCTAACTATTGATTGACTTGAATTCTGTTGCGTGGTGTCTTAACCTTGGTCATCTAGGAAGCAGAGTCTGAGTTAAAGTCTCATGTTCTATTATTTCATTGCAGAGTTCAATTCCAGGGAATAAGAGGGAGAGAAAAGGGGAGTGAGATAAAGACGGAAGAAGAGCCAATATGAAGATGTGTCATGAAACTGGCCACCTGGTATTGGGCCCGATTGACTATCCAATTTCAAGGGGCTCTTGAAGATGTCATATAAATGATTACTTTTCAGAAGAGTCTAGGGGGTGTGGGTGTCAGTAAGAATTTATCTGCTGACTCAGTCTCTCATTTGTCACAGTTTTACTCCATAGTTTCTCTTTTACGCCACACTTTTGAGTTGTCCGTGTATTGGCAAAAAAACAAAATGAGTCCCATGGTGTTTTAGTTTGGGTTTTCCTGAAAGCAGAGCTTGAATAAGGGCTTCAGTTAATTGGGGTTCAAGTAGCTTGTTTGGAAAGTGATGCCAGAAAGCAGGAGTGAGGGATTTGGGAGAAAAAGACAATAATAGGAATGAATTATTGAGGTCTCTGCTGTAAGCAGTAGGGGCTCTATTCCATAGCAACTCCGAGAAATATACAGAATGCCTCTCAAATTATCCATGCATAAGATGGGAGGCTTGGGCATTTACCCACTGTCTCCCATCCCCCATTTATTTAGAGTTGCCCTTGTGGGCTATAACTCTCTTCCTTTTCTGGGCAGTGCTTACATGTAGACCAAGAGGACTTCTGGGATTTTGGAGAAGGCTACCAGCTTGTGGAAAGCAGAGATTTGAGAAGTCAGCATGAGTCTGAGGTTGTGTACTGCCCACCACAGAGGTGGACCAAAGAGGTGGGCCATGGATTATCGGATGCCTCAGGGAACAGGGACCCTTGGGGCAGATGGTCAGAGTAGTATTTCTTTTGTGGGATAGTGTGAGAGTGGGTCTCCAGAATGGTGCTGACATACTGATTTTGACTGGCTCATGTTGTTTATATAGTCAGAGCCCCTCCTAACAACATTTGGCCAGGACTCCACACACCCTAGGGGGAGCTCTGCCTCTGTGAAGCAGATTGGAGCCATGCAAAATTGACTGCAGTAGCTGTAGCTGGAACAACAAAAAAGTAACAGTGAGGGGACTTATAGTGTCTTATAGGAGGCAACCAATATCCTAGGTGAGGTGCCTTTTCAGAAAAATTTTTTAAAGAGTATTTTTAGAGTCTGTATTTCTCTATACATGTGTAATAACATTTGCAAAAATTTTGAGTGAGTCAACATGTGGGGTGGATTGCAAAATGTGGCTGCAAATTCTTTTCATCATGGAATGTATAGTCCTGCCTTTGAGAGTTGGAGTCTATTTCTCCACCCTCTTCATTTGGATTGGCAGATAACTTTTTCCTTCTAGTTTATAGCTCTCTAGATCAAGAGGAGTTGTACCACTGAAGCTAGTGTTGTGACTTACTTTGACCAATAGAATGAGACGGAAGTGAAATTTTCCATTCTGGGACCTGAGCATCTAGATGTCTTGCAGCTTCTGCCTTTACCCTCTTCATTGAGACCACCAAGGAAGAGAGGCCAGTCCAGCCTCCTGGGGGATGAGAGGCTATGTGAAGGAATCAAGGCATCCTAGCTGATGGCCACCACCTACTCCAAGACATGTGAGTAAAACCAGGGTGGATCCTCCAGTCTGGCCACCTCTCTAGGTCAATGAAATCACATGACTGAGTCCAGGCAAAACTAGACTGGACTGTCCAAGCCGCAGAATCATGGGGAATACTGAATGATTGTTGTTTTAAGATATTCAGTTTTAGGTGGTTTATTATATGGCAACAGATGCCTAACATAACATGACCAAAATCCTGATAGTCTTTGGAAGCATTTTTATGCCTCAACTAAGTAGATGACTAAATTAAATGATGTGTTAATAAATTTGCAAATACTAATACGGTTTCATGGTGAGTTTCATAGAGTTCCTCTTCTGTATTTAACCAAGGAAGGAACCACAAATGAGGAGTCGCTTTCCCTGCCAGAAAGTAAGCTTATGAAAATTACTCCTCAGTGAAATAAAAGAGCAAATTGTACCTTAAATTTTCTGTGTAACTACAAAGAACAATTTATATGTATGAATTCTTGGCTTGTGGGAAAAGAACATCATCAGTTGAGTGACTGTCAGGATGTGCTTGTGTAGATGGCACAAGTTTCTACTCTGATCTGATTCTAAGTGATTTTGTGGTTTAGCAGTCACTAGCACTTACTGAAAGAGTTTGAGGGAGTGGAACTCTGCTGTCTGAGTAGGGACTGGGTTGTGCTGGTGGTGTTCCAAAGAGGTTCACAGAAAGTAGCAATGATAGGACAGGAGAGGAGAAGCCCTAGAAAATAGTCCCTTATCTTTTTGACTTTGCTATGATGTCCAGAAATCCAGAGATACCACATTTCCTTCTAAGGAGAGAGAAGTCTCACATTCTGCCCCTCTAACTTGTAGCAGCAGAAATTTGAGTTTGATTACAAAATGAAAGAAGAGAGCTGATGGATTTTCACAAGATCGTTGGTTAAAAAAATCCTTCCTGAGTAGTGTTGGGTACTCTAACACTGGTTGTTTGACCAAGTGGTACATATAATATCTAGATTATGCAAATTGGTAACTCATGGGCCAAATCTATATACTTTTGGGTGTATTTTGTTTTGCCTGCAGTATGTATGAACATAGTGCTTTACAACAATTGAGCTGCCTTTTAAAAATCTAAGAGCTTTCACACAAAAATCTGTACTTTTGGGGGCTGGCTCCATGGCATAGTAGTTAAGTCCAGTGTGATCTGCTTTGGCAGCCTGGCCTCATGGGTTCAGATCCCAGGCATGGACATACGCGACTCATCAAGCCATGCTGTGGTGGCAACCTGCATACAAAATTGAGGAAGATTGGCACAGATGTTAGCTCAAAGTGAATCTTCCTCACCAAAAAACAAAGGAAAACATCTGATCTTTCAGCATCTCTTGAAAACTGGATGATCTGGGCACAGATCTGGAGTGAGGGACAGCACCCATGTTAGACAGATCCCACATTCTCCAGCCAGCAGGCTACACTCATTACCTTACAGTCTGGTTGCTGTAGGCGTGTGGCAGCCTTTATAGACCCCTTTCAAAGGGGCAAGAAGCTTGGTAATCGGGACATAATTGACTATTTAAATAACAATAAATGGCTTGATTTCTCATAGGTGGAAAATGATCATAAAAAGTGATCTACACACGAAATGTCCATTTTAAGTCATTTACACTACTGAAAAAGCCCAGTTCAGGCAGGGTTCATAGGTTTAGATAAAACGCCTTTAGAGAGAGCTTCGCCGCTGATAAAGAGATGCTCCCGGTCTGACAAGAGGAAGGGAGGAATCCATGGTTTCTGGGAATGAAAGAGTACCTGTGCTTTACTTTTGGTATCCCCCGGGCAAAAACGCTGCCTGCTGAGTCTGGGCAGAGAGAACCACAGACAGCTCCCCCAAAGAAACAGCGAAGACCTACAGACCTGAGGGACCTGTTGAAAAGGATATCATATCCCTCACAGGCAGCCTGTGGGAATGGTGACTGTGGATAGGCCACTACACTCTCCACCTGGTTTCCAATGCCTTGGCTTGGTAGAAGATCCTAGAACTTTACTAAAGGAACCCGAAGAGAGCTAATGCTAAGTTTTCCACAATCTCAGTGAAATACTTTGAGTGTTTTGAGAGAGAAGTTACTATAGAAAATAGAGAATTTTTTTTTAATGCACATGGAATTGTGGCCTGAGATTCATGCCTATTATATTGTCAAAGAAGGTACTTATTTTAGAGAGGTAAAAATTTATTCTAATAAGTATGGTTAGTTTGTGTTTTCAAGGTATTGCTTTATTTTTGCCCTCTAACACTGTTAAGTTTATAAAATATGTCCTGTGATTCTGCACTTGATTATTGCACTGAATAGTAGAGTGGTGATCCCGAGAGTTAATTGCCCTCATGTGTTCAGTCATTTGCTGCCAGCTCAGTGTCTTTGTTTTAAGAGCATCCTTATGTTTCTCCTTCTCACCAGCCAGAAATGTTTCCAGTACTGTGCACAGGTAATGGCTCTTTAAATTACCACCATTCAGTCATCTTTTGGACAAATTTTCTTCAAGAGTCAGCAAACAAGCAGGACCTTCAAGGACTGCTCTCCAAATGAGTGGATCTTCTACTTTGTATGGACAGAGTTCCCACTGGGAAGTGCTTCCTCTGATTCCAGGTTATTGTTTCAGGGCATCAAGATGCATTATTATTATTAATTATTTTTCGGTGAGGAAGACTGGCCCTGAGCTAACATCTGTACCAATCTTCCTCTATTTTGTATGTGGGACACTGCCACAGCATGGCTTGATGAGCAGTGTGTATGTCCATGCCTGGGATCTGAACCTGTGAACCCTGGGCCGCCCAAGCAGAGCTTGTGAACTTAACCACTGTGCCACTGGGTCGGTCCCAAGATGCATTTTTTTTCATTCTTAAACCTTAGTTGACAGTTCCAATGGGAATTTTATCAATATGACAACTGTATTTATTCATTTATTTGAAAATATATGTTGAGGGGCCGACCCCGTGGCCCAGTGGTTAAGTTTGCATGCTCCGCTTCGGCGGCCCAGGGTTTCACCAGTTTGAATCCTGGGTGTGGACATGGCACCGCTCATCAAGCCATGCTGCGGTGGCATCCCACATGCCACAACTAGAAGGACCCACAACTAAAAATACACAACTATGTACTGGGGGTCTTTGGGGAGAAAGAGGAAAAATAAAATCTTTAAAAAAAAAGAGAAAATATGTGTTGAATGGCAACTATGTGCTCAGGATACCAAATAATACCCAAGAGCTGCTCTCTGGGAGCTCACAGCCTCCTGGGTGAGAGACAAATATACGGGTGATTATAAAAGGATGTGTAGGTGCTATGGTGGAGATAGGCACAGCACAGCAAAGTATAAAAATTGTGGGGAAGTTGGGAAGTCAGACTAGGAATGGGGTCAGAAAGCATTCTGGGTGAAGTGACATCCAAAGTTTGATGGAAGGAGTTTCAATTATTCAAGAGAGGAAACAGGGACCAAATATTGATGTTCTGTGAATGCCATGCCAGGAAATCTGGACTACCCAGAATTGGGTGTGGTTCCATGTAGCACCATTAAAGGATTCTAAAGAAGAAAGGGGCTTGATCTGATTTCCCTTTTAGAATGAGCACTTTGGTGACAGCATGGAGGATGAATTAGGAGTAGCGTAAAGCCAGGGGAAGGGATATATATGAGGAGGCAGTTAAAATAACTTAGATAATAATTTATAAGAGCCAGAACTCAGGCACTAGAAGTACGAATATATAAAATAAGAAATAGATTCAAAAGATATTAGGAAGATAGAGGATTTATGCTCTGAAGACTGATTGTCTGTAAAGGGTGAAAAGAGGAAAGAGTCAAGGATGATATCAGTTTTTCTGCTTGGGTGATTGGTTGTATGATTGATCATTCCCAATATTAATGAAGAAGATGGAGAAACAGGCCTTAGGAGACTTATGACAAATGAATCTTTAGAGTTGTTGACTTTGAGGGATCTGTGGAACACTCAAATAGTGATTCTAGTTAGCATTTGGATATATGGGTCTGGTGAACATGGAAACAGCTGGCTGGAAATAAATACTTTGGAGTCTTCGGCATATAGAGGATACCTGAAACCTTGAGGATGGATGAGATCATCCAGGGAGTGTTTGTAAAGGGAAAAGAGAAGACTACTAATTATAGATTTATGGGGCACACTGACTTTTAAAGGGTGGTCACTTGAAGAGGAGGATGTGAAACACTTTTCTGAAAACAAGCAACTGAAAAATTAAGAAGAAAACTAAAAGAGGGTAGAATCTAGGAACAAATGGAAGAAAGAATTGAAAGAGAGAGAGGAAATTTCCAGCTAGACTTATTCTAACTAGACCCAAGATTTCAAGGGCTAAATAGAGGTGCTAAGTTATTTGGATTTTTAAATTCCAATCCAATTAATTACAGTGATGAAAAGGGGCCAGCCCCATGGCCGAGCGGTTAAGTTCACCGGCTCTGCATTGGTGGCCTGGGGTTCACCTGTTTGGATCCTGGGTGTGGACCTACTCATTGCTTGCAGGCCGTGCTGTGGCGGCATCCCACATAGAAGAACTAGAATGGCCTACAACTAGGATATACAACTGTGTACTGGGGCTTTGGGGAGAAAAAAAAGAAGAAGAGAAAGATTGGCAACAGATATTAACTCAGGGCCAATCTTCCAAAAATAAAATTAAAATAGGTGAAAAATCCATTATGAAAAAAAGCATAGCAAATGCCAAAGAAATTTGAAAGTGACCTCTGAAAACAATCAGCAAAACAATTATTTTATTTAATGATTAAAAAGTGAAGCAAACAAGTAAACCATCGGCAAATTTGTTCAGATAGTTTGTTTTTTTTTTGGTAAATAGGATAGGAGTTCAAATGTTCCTGAAGTAAATTCCTTATTCATCTTGTTTTTGACAATTCCTTTTGCTGCATCTGAAATTAAAATTAATGGAAAACTATTTAAAATACCCTATGGGACAATGAGTTTTAGCTTTAGCCCTATCAGCACAACTGCTTCAGCAGCTGAAAAAAAAGAGCAACTGTGAAATTTACCAATGCATTTACTGAAGCCAAACATCGCTGTATTCGTTTGCTAGGGCTGCATAACAAAGTGCCACAGACTCGGGGGCTCAAACAATAAAATTTATTTTCTCACAACTCTGGAGGCTAGAGGTCAGGACGCTAGCAGAGTTGGTTTCTCCTGAGCCTCTTTCCTTGGCGTGTGGATGACCATCTTCTCCCTATGTCTTCACGTGGTCTTCCCTCTGTACATGTCTGTGTCCTAATTTCCTTTTCTTATAAGGACACCAGTCCTATTAAATTGGGGCCAACCCTAATGACCCCACTTTAACTTAATTACCTCTTGAAAGACCCTAACTCCAAATAAAGTCACATTTTGAGGTACTGAGAATTAAGACTTCAACATATGAATTTGGGGGGACACATTTCAGCCTATAACACTCACAAAAACCAATCTGCTTAAAAATTTTAATTTCTATTTATTGACAGAAAAATAACTTTTCTTATATCATCATGGTTTCTATTTAATTTTAAGTTTCAAAATGTGTATATTTTATCATAGGCATATTTTTGATTTTTTAGTAAAGTATGTCACTATGTAAAGTAAAAGAAGCACCTTTTGCTGATTCACTAGAGGATGATGTGTTATTGTTTTTTAAACCATGGAATGATTGTGTGGGAGATTAAGGACAGCCACAAATTCCTTGACACTCTTCTCAGTGAAAGGTGGAGGTCTCATGTCAATGTCCCCTTCCTTCTAATTTGGGAGGGCTCTTTGTCTGCTTTGACCAATATAATATAGCAGAAGTGATGCTCTCATGAGCTTTAGCCTTCAGATACCTGCAGCTTCCACTCATGTCTCTTGGTATGCTCCCTCTAGAAGCCCTGAGCTGTCATGTAAGAAGTCCACTACCCTGAAACTGCCATGCTGGAGAGGTCATGTATAGGCAATCTGGTCAACAGTCCTTCAGCCATCCTTGTCAAGACATCAGATATGGAAGTGAACCCATTTGCGATCTTTCATCTGCCAACTGAATGCTACCAAGTGACCTTAGTCAACCCCACATGGAAAGTGATGCTTGTAGAAATATTTTCTACAGACTACTTTGCATCATGCTACACTGTCTTCATAGAATCACCATTTTATGTATTCAAGACTTTACTGGGATAGTATCAGTTGAGAAATGTTTTGTATATGATGTGAATTTTTTGAGGATGGTACTCTACTTTTTTCAGGGCCATTGATAATCCTTAACTTGACCTCGGGAGTTCAAAAGAAAATAAAGGTTTGCTTTTTTATAGAGAAACTGCACTGAGGAAAACGTGTTATATCCAAGTATTATTCTGAATTAACAGCTAATAAATCAGAAAAAAAGAAAAATGTTAACAGTAATTTAGCAGCAAATGGGGCATTTGACCTGCAGCTCCCAGATGAATTCCCAAACTACATGAATAAATTATTTTAGGAGATGAAATTATATGGGTTATGTAACGCTTGATGAGAAATTGCAGTCATAATCCGGGAAATGGCTTCTACTTAGCAGGGTCACCAGTGGAGAAAGAAGTGGTCCCAGGACATCATTTTCCACCTTGAGAATCTTGGCCAAAGCAGTGCCCAAGTGCTTTCTGCCCAGCTGCAATCCAACTAGAGAAGCTGAAATTAGCTTCATTGCCAGAGACCTCAAAAGCCCTTTGAATATCCAGCACCCGAATGGCCTCTGTGCTATTTTCTGCGAGATTGTGCTCCAATCACAGCTCCTCATCTTAGAGCTGCAGTTACGTTTCCTAGATCTGCACAGATGCAAGGCTTTCCCAGAACTAGGATAAGCTGTCAACTTGTAGGGCAGCTCAGTTGCTCCCTGGAATTTATGCCCTAAGGGACAAGCGCTCCATAGAGCATTTTGAAAGCTGACAGCTTAGTGTTGGCAGCTGAATTTTGACATTTCAGGCTATTATCAAAACTCTCTCCAACAGCTGAAACTGTAGGTATGTGACAGTTAAGCCTTCTGCGAGGCATGTTTATCTGGCAGGAAGAATGCTATCAGTTGCCTTATTATTCTATTGTCCCGCACGTTTCAATCACTTTTTGTTAATCAACTAACACATTGTTGAGATATCTAAAAATGACAAGGCAAATAAAGAGCCATGGTTAGGATTTTACCCTCAAGCCCATGCTCAATTTGAAGGCTTCCCGCTTCAAAATATTTAGTTGGAAAAATTTACCATTGTAAAGAAACGTGAAAAGCAATAGGAGAATTCACATATTAGGTAGTCCCTGCAGAAGCTCAGACTTAGTCCTTCCCCTACGGACTTAGGAGATGGTAATGAAAAGCCCTATTTCTTTCCAAGCTTGAGCTGACACACTTGGATATGTGGGTATCTGAAAACATATTTTATCAAAATAAGGAGCTTAAAGGTGAAGTTTTTTTATACAACGTGGTCCTCTTAATTTTCATTCCATTAAATGCTGAAAAAAAATCAATGTCTGACAGATGAAAAAGGGCAGAGTTAGAGGAGCTATATGGAGGAGAGTATATCAGAAAAAGAAGAGTTCGGATTGTTTTATAGCAAAAGGAAGAATAATGATCCTGTAGCTATGTTTACTTCCTATACAAACTATATATTTTTGTTAGTAAAGACAAAAATGAAATTGGATTACTAATGGTAAAAGAATATGGCTCTTTGCTTTCTAGAAAAAAATGGTTAAAAACACATCTCTTTACCTCCCTTGAAAAACCACACCTCACTCCCTCATGCTAACCATCAAGTCAACTCAGAGAGTTAAAAACTTGTCCCCGGCCCCAGTAGAACCCTCACCAAAGAATGCAGCGGAGAGTCCTATCTTCTGGTTAAATACTGGATAAGCACAAATTGAAATGTGTCCTTAAAGTAATTAACCCAACCAAATCCCCGTGGTTGCCACAAAGTGAATGTGAAATTGTAGAAATCTTTGATGTCCTCTAACTGATTCGTGACAAGAACCGAATATGATGAAATAGCTTTGAGATGAGTCATGTGTGTACGCAACACCAAACAGGCAGTCTATTCAGTAAGTTTAACTTCCTCAAAACAATTCTCAGTGAAAAGAAAAAGGAAATATGTTTACTTGGACTTTCCTCATGAGTTAAGTTTTACACAGATGCAGATTTTAAATTAATCAGTGCCCTCATCTGATCGGTAGGCAAAATTGTGTGGTAGTTTTGTACTGACACTAATAATAAATAACAACAACAACAGCATCTAACAACACTTAAAAGTATGTGTGCGATGTGCTAGGCACGACTCTAAGCCATATATTATACACGCGCATGCACACACACATACTCACATATACATATGTACGTATATATACATACATATACATATGTATAATATTTAATCCTCAAAACCTCCTTGATACTGATAGATGTTATTATTATCCCCATTTTGCAGAGAAGAAAATAGAGGCTCAAAGAGCTTGAATAATTTGTCCAGGGTCACAAAGCGGTAAGAGTGGTATTTAAATCTGGACCAGCTGTTTGTAAAGCCTGTGCTATCCATTTATCACTACATTATAGTGCCCTTTGTTTACATGTTGAGATATATTCATTCGAAGTTTATCTGCAGCACAAGAATTTCAAAATTCTATAAGAGTTCCTTCAAAAGTGTGGTCAATATGGGGAAGAGGAATAACCATGATAGAAGTGATATTTTCAATACTTCCATATAAAAATGTCTGGAGGCAGAGCCGCTAATGGAAAATATTGATTGTGAGTTTAAAAGGTGGTGAACTTCAGGACCAATCGCAGCCAAATTTATATCCCTGAAGTTTCCCTCGTATATTTGCAAATTCCCCTTTCCACATTTGAAAAGCTGGCTTTTAGAAGTGATGATAGAAGTCTTACCGAGTCAGCCCTAATAACAGCTGTTGGCTCAGATTAGCACAAGGAAAAATTTCTCTCAGTTTCTGCTGCGCATCTGTTATAGTTTTTTTTTTTTTTTTGTAATCTGTGGACAGTGGGCTATAAGATGGTGTACAGGATTTTTTCCTGTATTTAAAATATTTTTCTATATTTTCTTTTTTTTATTACTTTGCCTCATTTCCTGAAAGTTTTTCTGTTAATGCACTGTAACCACTCACTTCAAGCAGACAGCAAGAAGTAAATAAAAATATGAATGCTTCCCTCAAGTAAAATAAAGATTTGTTTGAACTTAAAAATATCTTGGCTTTGTTATTTTTATATACAAAGATGATTTTTTTCTATATCATCATGCACCTCTGAATTTTAGAGTGCTTTGTTGCAGCTGTTAATTGCAATATTAAGATAAACTAGGTTTGAGAAGCAAGTTCTCTCTTTTTACTAAGACTTCTGTGTGTTTTGGTCAGAAAATTATATAATCTTTTCTCATTTATCTCAGTAGTAGTTTCAAAACAAAATAAAGAACAAGCTAATTGGGTGGCAAAAATATAAATTAGATTGCGTAATTTCGTCTTTGCCAAAGGACTTTTAATGACTGTTTTAAAGCAACTGCATATGTTTATATAAATTCACCTCCTTACTTACATCTCACTGTCGAGATAGAACGGAGCTCTCCTTGGAATTTCTGCCAAAGGAAGTGACTTGGAATATTATCACCATCAGTCTCCTCTTCATCTCTGGCCAGGGCACCTCTCTTAGGACCGCTGCAGCTGTCCTTCCACCACACACGAGCTGTCTTGGGTCACGTGGTCAATACAGAGAAGAGGAATAACTACAATAGAGGTAATATTTTCAATGTTTCAGATACAAAAATGTCTGGAGGCAGAGCTGGTAATGGGAGAATATTGATTTGCGAGTTGAAGCTCGTTAGGACTGAGAGTGGCCACCTTTATACCTCAAGAGCGTCTACGAAGTCTGGCTTCTGGCCAATTCTCGCTCCATCTCAGCAACCATGAGAAATGGAAAGTCTTTGGGTTTCTACTCAGGCTTTAAAAGTTTTCAAATGCCATTCCAGATGGCACCAGAGATTTGAAATTTGTTTGTGTGACATCTGAGCTTCAGTCTTCTTATCACTAAATTAGGAGTAAAGCTGTATATTTTTATTTTTTCCAAGGACTAAAATGAGATGAAAACCTATGAAACTCTCTAGGTCTCTCAATAAGTGTTTTTGGGTCTGTCAATAAATCTATTTCCAGTTGACAACAATTTCTGTTTTTAGAATGATGATGAAAATAGAAAAGTAGATATTAACCAAGATATATTTTTGTTGGGTCAAGAAATATTTACGTTTGTTAAGACTCTTCCTTCTGGAATTTAAGACAGTTAGTCAGTGTTTTTCAAAGAGTGGTCCATGGACCACCTACATCAGAATCTCTTGGAGTGCTTGGCAAAAAATCGGATTACCTGTCTCTACCCTGGTCTTACTGAATCAATATCTTTGGGGAAGGCACTTGGGTGAACGTGTATTTAACAACATCCCCAGAATAATATTTTTCTTACACTGAAGTTTCAGAAGCACTGCCTCATCTAATATGTATATGGTGCTTTATACTTTATAAATCATAAATCACTTTCACACTTACGGTGTCGTCTGACTCTCATAGCAACCTTGTTAGATATAGAGAACAGGTAACATCTCCTTTCTGTAGATGAGGAAACAGATGTAGAGAAGTTAAGTTTCTCACCCAGGGTTGCAAAGAAAATAAGAGGCAGAACATAGATCTGTGTTCAGGGTTTCTGGTCCAGATCTCTTTATACTCCACCTCACTCATCCTCCGTCTACATGAGAGCTGCAGATTGTGTGGGGCTGCAGGAGAGTCTTGCTAATCTACAACACTTTATTCTATAGGCAATGGAGATATATAAAAGATTTTTAAGTAGTAGAATGACTTACTCATATCTGTGCTCTAGGAGACAGCTTAGCGAATGGTTTGGAGAGAGGAAAAACTGCAGCCAGGAAGTGAATTGAAAGACTTCTGTTTTTTTCTACCACATCAGCAATATAGGCTGGATTACTCATGCCCAAAGTTCTCAATTGAAGGCACTGGAAATGAATTTTTTTGAACAAGACATAGCTGTGAAACCCAGAAAATGATTCTTTATGGTGCTTATTAAATTTTTTTTGTGTGTGTTAGGAAGATTGGCCTGAGCTAACATGTGTTTCCAACCTTCCTCTTTTTTTTTCTCTTGAGGAAGACTGTTACTGAACTAACATCCGTGCCAATCTCCCTCTATTTTATGTGGGATGCTGTCACTGTGTGTCTTGATGAGTGGTGCTAGGTCCGTGCCTGGGATCCGAACCTGTGAACCCCAGGCTGCTGAAGCAGAGCACACAAACTTAACCACTACATCACTGGACCATCCCCTGGTGCTTATTGAATTTTAACATTAATAACGTTAATGTGGCTGTCTCCTCTAATATGTTGTGAAATCTATGAAAATAAAACAGTTTCATTCATCTTTGTATCCCCAGAATCTAGTTTAGTGTTGACCATATGGTTTCATTAAATGTGTTTGTTGTTTGTTTAATAAACTTGAGTGAATGATAGTAAAAACTTTTTTTACATTGGCAAATGTAAATTATTATTTACATACGTAGCTCATTTTTATATTCTTTTTTTTCCTTCTTCTCTCCCCCTAGAGCCCCCAGTACATAATTGTATATTCTAGTTGTGAATGCTTCTGGTTGTGCTATGTGGGATGCCATCTCAGCATGGCTTGATGAGCAGTGCCATGTCTGTGCCCAGGATCCGAACCAGCAAAACCCTGGGCCACCGAAGTGGAGCACACAAACTTAATCACTCAGTGGTGGGGCTGGCCCCGCATTTTTATCTTCTTAACATATGCCAACATATAGCTTTAGGTATATGGACTTATTTGGTCATCACAACTGCCTTTCTATAATAGCCCCTATTTTACACATGAGAAACACAGAGTGGTTAAGTACCTCATCCAAGGTCAGTTATTTGCCAAGGCTGTAATCTCAGTGAAATTGGGATGTGAATTAGGTAGCCTGGTTCCAAAGTCATGCTGTGCTACATTATATACATAAATTTATCATTATGTTTCAATTGCTTATCACTTTTGGTATTATTTTATATTGGTACAAATCGGAATTTAATAGGTGTACCATCCGCTATGGTAACAAACACTAAAATATCAGTGGCTTGACCGAGTAAAAGTTTATTTCATGTTCACTTAGAGTTTGGTGTGGCTTAGATGACTTTCCTGTATGGCTCTCATCCAAAAGATGACTCAGCGACCTGGCTGCTTTCATCTTGTAATTATACCAGCTGGAACAGGTGTCCTCCAGGGGTCAGCAGGCAGGGAAGAGAAATGAAGGAGGCACATCAGTTCTTAATTGCCTTGGTCCATAAGGTCACATGTCACATCCACACATATTTCATTGGACAGCACTATTCTCACACCCCAACTTAACTGAAAAGAAGACTAGGAAATACAGAGCAGCGTGTGGATCTTTGGTGAGCACTAATAATTTCTTCAATAATATCTTAATTCTGCCAAAATATCCATGTATCCTAACAATATCCTAAAAAAATAGAATAATAAATATGTAAAAGGAAACGTTGGGAGCAATGCATTTTATTTTAGGCTCTGGCTTTATTACAAATTAGTTGAATGATCCCTGTAATGTAATTTACCTGCTTTGAATCAGTTTCATCATGCATAAAATGGGCATAATGAGTGACACCCAACTCATAGGGTTGTTGTGAGATTTAAGTGAGATGCTAGAGGCAATAACCAGAGCATAGTGGTGGACACACAGTATTTGCTCAATATTAGAGCTATTGTATTAGTCAAGGTTCTCCTGTGAAACAGGATCAATGTAGACTATTGATATATGCAAATATAAATCAATCAATCAATATATACATATATAAATGGAGAAAGAGTGAGAAGGATTTAATATAAGGAATTGGTTCATGTTATTATGGAGGCCAGCAAGTCCAAATCTGCAGTTCGAGTCCAAAAGCCAGAAGCTGCTATAGAGCCAGGAAGAGATGATGTTCTAATTGGAAGGCCATCAAGTAGGAGAATTTTCTTTACTCAGTGGAAGGTCACATTTTTGGTCTATTCAGGCCTTCAACTGTTTGGATGAGGCCCACCCATTTTGGGGAGGACAATCTGTTTTACTCAGATTGCTGGTTTGAATGTTAATCTCATCCAAAAACACACTCATGGAAACACCCAGAATAATGTTTGTCCAAGTATCTGGGCACCCCATGGCCTAGTCAAGTTGACACATAAAATGAACCTTCACAGTCATTAATTATTATTACGATGATTACTGTTATTATTAGATATAGTCTATAGTAAGGTTATTTTCTTGTTCCTTGGAGAAGTTCATTTTTTTAGAGCAACTAATCACTTTTTTTTCTTTTTAAAGACTCACATTAAAAAATCTCTTACAGATTAGCAACAGATATTCAAACCAGCTGGGCACTTATGAGTGAAGCCAAGATTTTGGTGCCCAGAGTAAGCAGATCAAGTTGGTAGTCCTTTTACTAGACCGTTATCTTGACAGTCAAACAGCTACCATGATGGGCTTGCCTGGTAGCATAGTAGTTAAGTTCACATGCTCCACTTCAGTGGCCTGGGGTTCAAAGGTTGAGATCCCAGGCATGGATCTACACACTGCTCACAAGCCATGCTGTGGTGGCGTCCCACATACAAAATAGAGGAAGATTGGCACAGATGTTAGCTCAGCGATAGTCTTCCTCAAGTGAAAAGAGGAAGATTGGCAATGGATATTAGCTCAGGGCCAATCTTCCTCACCAAAAACAAAACAAAACCCAGCCACTGTGAAAGATAAGCAGACAGGTCTTTTAAGAGGATATTATATGAAAGACTGAAAGCAAAGTTGTCTCTTCAATCTTCTAGACTTTGTCCTCCTTGTTACAATGTCTATAGTAATCATTTTGGTGGTGTTATTTGTTTGTATACTGTTCGTAGTGTTTAGTTAAATTTTAGCTAGACTTTCCCAATCATATAAAGTTAATCACTTTGATAATCCTCAAGCTCACATTTTTTGCAGCTCTCGATTGACAGTCTCCAAACAATCAGCCAAGGCAAGGAGGAAGAAAATCTGCCAAAACGGTTGGGGTTATGTAAAGAAAGCAATTGGCTGATTGACTTAATCTCTCCCTTTTTTGCTGGCTGTAATCATGGAGACACAGATGAAGAGAAATTCCAGAGCCAAGTTCATCTCTGCAGTACATTGGAGAGGTACAAAAAGCCTGGAAAGATACTGTGTTCTTAGTGCCCAGAAGTCCAGCAGACACAGGCTTTGTCAAAATGGTGGATGAAATAAACCCCAGACACACAATGCTCTCCAGGAATAATGCCTTCTAATTTTTGGAAAATTCAACCAGAAAACTTCCTGTGACAGAATTCACGCCAGCTGTACACGCTCAAGCCAGTTAACCTGTTGGACTGAATCAACCAGTCCATTGGTAATTATCCTGAACCAGTTGTTTGAACTGACAGAATGCCTGGGCAGCCAGTCACTGAGCCCAGACAAACAGTACAGTCATGTGTCGCTTCACAATGGGGATACATTCTCAGAAATTCATTAGGCAATTTCATTGTGTGAATATCACAGAGTGTACTGAGGGGGAACAAAATTTGCCACCCCAAAGTGTGTCTCTTTAACATGGGGATTATTTTAAGCTGATTATTCTTAAGATACCAAAGACTCAGAAAGTTTTTCTTGTTACCTTTCCCTTAAATGCCTAAAAGAATGTAGATAAACTTGTCTTGGGAAGCGAGCTATCACCTTAGCATAATCTGAACTAGGTGATAGACAGGGAGGAACCCAGAAAAGCCTGTTTATTGGACTCCCCTCTGTGTTCTTCTGTTTCTATGTGGCCAAACACTTGTTTTCCAAACATTTTCTCCTTTTCACCTACCTGTGTATTGTCTCTGACTCTCCCAACCCCCAACATCTTCTTTTGTCTTTAGCTGAGGGTGGTATTTAAAGTGAGAGCTTCAGCCATTTTGGTGAGTTATTTTGTTTTCCTGGGTTTTTCCCATGTATACATGTTATTAAACTTTGTTTGTTTTTCTCCTGTTAATCTGCCTCACGTCAATTTAATTCTTAGATCAGCCAGAAGAACCCAGAAGGGTAGAGCAAAATTTCTTCTTCCCCTACACTGCTTACATAAACTTAGATTGTATAGCCTACTACATGGCTAGACTCTATGGTACTAATCTATGGGACCTCTGTTGTATAGGTGGTCCATTGTTAACCAAAATGTTGTTATGTGGCGCATGACTGTATGGATAATAAAGGAGGATGGATTCCTGCACAATCTTATTTCTTAGTGTGGCTCTGCAAGTGTATAGAATAACTTTGTCTATAGGTTGCTCAACTGATGTGGGTCTATCAGCAAGGGCACCTCAAAGTGACCATCTAGGTTGTTAAAAAGAAGCATTTATAATAAACTAGCTCAGAAGATTCTTAGTCTTATTTGAAAATATTAGGACAGAATTAAAATGTTTTGCATTATTTGACTCTAAAATGAATTAAAAATGCAAATGCGTTCCTATTATACAAAAATAAAATAGCTTTGACATAATAGTTATATAAATTGAAAGATTACAGCACATATTTTATGAGTTTTAAGCAAAATGGGTGTTTGAAAAGTCTTGTCAAAGTTACAATGTCGTGTTCTTTTGCTTTTAATAGTAAGCAAGCTCTGTTTCACTTTGTGTTTCATGATAATTATCATGGCAGAGACTAAAGCAGAGACAGAGATGCTTGTGTACCCACTTCTTGGTTTACACATTGACCACATTGTGCACATTATGCCTCTATGTAGGGTGGCACAGACTTCAACTACAGGAATATAAAAATGTGAATTGTAAGAAAATCATACAATATCTACTTGTTTTGTAGCTACTACTATTTATTACAGAAAGGAGTCTTTACAAATCCAAATGGAAAGGGTTATTAGCATATGCAAACATTAATTTATTAGTTAAAATTTAGTCTTATTCAGCAGGGGAGAAAATATGCCGCTCCAAACTATTCACACTCTTTGCTATGTGGATGATCCTATGATATATTTTTTATAAAGTTCTCTGTGGACTCATAGATGTAGATTATAAAATCTTTTGCATAGAAGGTTTTGTGTAAAGCCAGGTTAAGAAACTTTGTTTTCTTTACTCACAACACTTCTGACATCAAATGTATGGGTTTAACACACCAAGAAATTCTGCAATTCTTTGTGGACAACAACTGGATATCCTATAATCTACAATTTAATTCATTTTGACACTAACTACCCAGAGTTAGCACAGACCGTACAGGTTGAAGGCTCAGTCCCACATGGCTGCCTCAACTTCAGATACCGGTTGCAAGTCCCAGGTTGTCCCCTGTACTTCTGATCAACTGGCTATAAATCAGGGTTTCCACAACACCTCCCTCAGTTTCAATAATTTGCTATAACAGCTCATAGAAATCAGGGAAACAATTACATTCGCTGGCTTATTATAAAGGATGTAGTAAAGAACGCAGATGAACAGCCAGATGAAGAGGTACATGGGGTGAGGTCCAGAAGGGTCCCAAGCACAGGAGCTTCTGTCTCTTGGACTTTGAGAGTGTGCCACCCTCCTGGCATGCAGAAATGTTCACCAGCCCGGAAGATCTCCAAACCTGTTGTTTAGAGTTTTTATGGAGGCTTCATTACGTACGCAAGATTGATTAAATCATTGGCCACTGTTGATCAAGTCAATGTCTAGCCCTTCTCCCTTTCCCAGAGGTCCACGGGTGGGGCTGAAAGTTCCAACCCTCTGATCAGGCCTTGGTCTTTCTGGTAACCAGCCTGCCTCCTGAAGCTGTCTAGGGACCCGAGCCACCAGTCATTCATTAGCATACAAAAAGACGCTTTCATCATGTGGGAAAGTCCAAGGATCTTTGAACCTCTTTTGTCAGGAACCAGGGGTGAAGAGTGAATATAACAAAAGATGCTTCTATCATCCCTGTCGTTCAGGAAATTACAAAGGTTTAAGGATCTCTGTATGAGGAACTCAGGACAGAGATGGAATATATATATTTCTTACTATGTCACACAACGTGACTTAATTTACATGATATTTTATAGGTCAGGGGAGGGAAGTGGGCAGCAGTGTGCTGGAAAGTTGTAACAACCAGCTCACTGAAAAAAAGTGTGCTGGTTTGTACATACATAAGTTTATTATCAATTTTTCTGATATAAAGGATGATTAGCATACTTTTTAGAAATGATAAAATAGAATATACAATAATCTTTATTATGAATTCAATATATTCAGAATACTATCACTGATTTTTGCTACACATTTGCATCCCTAGTCAACTATGATTGTAAATGATGAGCAGGTGTAGTTATGACATGAATGTCATGTTATGACATGAATTTAGTGAAACAACCAAGATATATTCTGAAACTTCACTCATTTCTCAATGACATGAGCAACTTTTTGTTTTAATCAACACCCTTAACATATCCTCTGTCGTTTTCTTAAGTCTCTATAATCAACAAAACAGTAAATTAAGCCCTGATTAGTAGCAATTTGCCGATTTCCATGGTGTAAATACTTTCACCATGGCAGATTTCAGGCCTCTGATGTAACATCACTGAATGTGGAGTTGAGAAGAGATGTTCAGTAGCTCCCCATTATACAGCGTTCCCATTATAATAATAGACATAAATAACCTTGAAAGCACAAATAATGGTAAAATGTAATAAAATCATAAGAAAGTGATGATTTTACATACTTTTACTACCTTTGTTTTTTAATTTACTTAGATTTAAATAATTTAATTTTAAATAATGGTTATATTTAACAACTGGCTTGCAAAATTCCTGAAAAATCAATTGGCTTTCACGAGCTGGTATAAGCCAGCTTCGTCTTACCACTGGGAATGGTGGTAGCCATCTTCTCCCCAAATATAACCATCACCACCTCTAATTTGACCATAATTGCATTTCTTTGAGTTTTGAAGGCTTTTACATCTCCAACTGTCCTTTTTTAACATTGTAAATGAAACTGTAAACTTCATCAGGCAGCATGCACATTATTTGAATATCTGTAGCTCCAATGACTTCTAGCACAATGCTATAGTAAATATATGGCCTAGGCACTCAGCAAATCCTTACTAAATACAATAAAAATGCACAGACATCTAAAATTATACCTTAAACCTATCAATTAACAACTTAATTATTTTAGGAAGAGTTCAATGGCAGTCAGCTGAAAGCCATGCCCCTAGGGTGCAATGGGATGGGTAGGCAGGGGGCAGAGTGCGGTACTCTTATGGACGCAAGCATCAGTTTCAGTCTTATTAAATGGTAATCCGAATAGGGATGCTCACACAGACACTTAGGATTCAGTGGCCCCATTGTGGCTGCTGAACCCTGGTTCATTCCTTCATTCATTCAACAATATTTTATTGGGCACACAATATGGTCTAGCAAGGCATTGGAGGTATAGCAGCAGAAAATTCCAAGCCCTCATAGAGCATACATTCTATTAAGGACAGTCGATTAACAAATAAACAAATATACATACATAGTATGTCAGATAGTAACAAGCATATGGAGAAAGAGAACGCGGGAAAGCGGGTTAGGATGAGCCGGGTTGGTGGTGGGGGCTTGTTTCATATACTGATTCAGAAAGACCAGTTTAATAGGTTGACATTTGAGCAGAGGCCTCAAGGAGGTGAGGGAACCAGCTATGCACATATCTGGTGCAAGAGCGTCCTAGGCACAGAAAATAAGTGCAGCAGTCCCAAAGTGGGAGCGTGCTTGACGAATCTGGAGACAAGTGAGGAAGCTGCTATGTCTGGAAAGGAGCAAGGGGAGGATGGTAAGACATGGGGTCAGAGTTAGCAATGGGGGAAGACAGAGAGGGCAGATGTGTGAGTTGATCTGTGATTCATCTTGATGTCATCTGATCTGGGCCCCAGGCTCCTCCTAGGCTACCCCTGGGGTCCTTTGATGATTCCAAGTCCTTGCCCTCTTATTTGCTTCCCACATTCTGAACATCAGATTTGGCTGAGTCCTCTCACCTGGACTTCTGTCTGTGTACTTATAGGGTCACACTATGTAATAACTAGGTCCTGACAATCTTGGTCTAATGCCTTTCAGAAACCTCTGCCCTGTTAGCATGTAGAATGTCTCCTTTCATGACTGCACAGAGTCAAGCTCCAGAAATGGCCATTGTCACCTATAATATGCCATATAGCTTGTTCTGCTTTGTCTATTAAGTTGGCTACTAAATTGTCATAATAGACTCCCCTCTTTGTTTGTTTAAATTGCAAATAACGAAATCCAACCCAACTGGCTCAAACAAAAAGGGGATTCAATTGGTTCACAGGGCAATACAAGTTTCAGATGTGTTTGATCCAGGGCTCAAATGACAGCACTAGGGTCTGTTTGTTCTCTGACTCTTGACTCATCTCAAAGCTGGCTTCAATTTTAGGCTCCACATGGTGGCAATGTGGCAGCTCCAGACCGAAGGCTTCCACATCCAAATCTAGCAGAAAGAGTCTCTCTCTCATTCTTCCTCCCCTCTCAGGTGTCTAAGAAAAAATCTCCTCAGATCTTATTAGCTTTGATTACCCATCT